TCGATTATTATAAATAATTTTGATTGATGAGTTAACTTTTTGCAGTGGTAGATTGATTATTATAAATAATTTTGATTGATGAGTTAACTTGTTGCGGTGGTATATTGATTATTTAAATAATTTTGATTGATGAGTTAACCTGTTGCAGTGGTATGTTGATTATTATAAATAATTTTGATTGATGAGTTAACTTGTTGCAGAGGTAGATTGATTATTCAGTCAACCAGTTAGTTCAGTACCGTTAATTCTGAGATCGTGTTTTCAACAAATAAATGACTCCTATAAATACGAGAAAATTAAAAAGTAACTGATTGTTTAGCGTTATTTGTAACGTTAGGCCGGTCGTTAACTCTTGAAATCGTTTAGTGTAGCCCCCCAGTAGCACAGCGGTATGTCTGCGGACTTACAACGCTAGAATCCGGGTTTCGATACCCGTGGTGGGCAGATCACAGATAGCCCATTGTGTAGTTTGTGCTTAATTACAAACAAATAAACGTTTAGTGTAGAACATATTATCGAAGAAATAATACGCTTTCGATATCATTAAGTGGATTGGACTTTGCATATATATATTTTTTTTACCAAGTAACTTAAAACTACCCGCACTACAATAAAAAACGTTAAAACAAGATGGATGAGAGATACTGGTCATCTCTGAACGAGAAACTTCACCCTATTGGTCAAGGCTTTGCAAAGAATGCTCACGAAGGACACGTTTTCAAGCTGTGTTTTACTCTCATTTTAATGAATAATAATTGTATATATAGATATATATATGTATGTGTGTGTGTTTGTGTGTTAAGCATTTACTAGCGTTATTTTCCTCGTAGGTTTCAAGTAAAAAATATACCTGGTTGGTTATTTAAAACTTCACGATTTTATTGGTAAACTTAAATAAACTTAAATATTTATATATTAAGAATATTCACCATCCATTAAAAGTATAAATCTTCGCTGTATATTCTTTTTATAAGTAACATCACGTTTAAGCAGATATAGAGTCAAACCAGTAATTAAGTAGTTGATTTCATGTATGGAAGATTGTGAATTATGTAGCTTTTTGTATCAAGTTGCATAAAATGCTGTCTATTTCAACTTCATAAGCGTTTCACAAGGTAATCAGTTATACAGGTTTTTTTTTTTTCCTCTTCTCTGTTTATGAAAGTATCTTTGGCGGTCCTAAATATCTTAATACGTTTTAGCCTGGAAAGGCCTAGTGGTTAGGATGCTAGACTCACAATCTGCGGGTCGTGAGTTCGAATCCCCATAAGCCATGGGGTGCATTATAATGTGACACTCAATTCCACTATTCCTTGGTAAAAAGAGTAGCCTAAAAGCTGGCGGTTGATGGTTTTGACTAGTTGCCTTCCCTCTAGTCTATCATTATTAAATTAGGGACGGCTAGCGTCTATAGCCCTCGGGTAGGTTTGCGCGAGATTGAGAACAAAACAAATATTTTATGCTATTCGCACGAGTTGGTATTTGAACACTTTTATATATATATTTAGATACATAATGCACTGCCTTTACAGTTTTGTTGTAAACATTAAAAAAGTATAGTGTCATTCTAGATTTTCTTTGAGTTTAGATCCAGGAAGTACAGAAACTTTTGATCAGTTAATCTTAGACGTTGAAAATTTCGCCAATCTTTTGTGTAATTGCATTTTCTTTTCTTTTGCCACAAAAAAATGTAAATAAAGTTATCTAAATATGCATTTGAGAGTACCTGTTTACTAATTGTAGGTAAAAACCGGGTTTTTGATACTCCCATTGTGTAGCTTTGTGCTCAACAACTATGCAGTCTATAGGTTACAGTTAATGGCAAAGCGAACAGAGACAACACAGTGTTCGTGTATTATTTACTGTTTCGGTTTGGATTAGCGACAGTTTTAATATAGTGTCTAAACTACAATATACTGTATCACACCCACAAATACAATATTTTCCTTTTTTTTTCCAGCTCCTGGGGAGAGACATTCTTTCTGGTAATAGAGACAGCGGCTATAGCTTTTCTCATCTTGTTTTACAACCAAAAAAAAGAAGGGGCCTACAGCTTTCTTATTGTTTTTACGACGCTGTGCTATATCTTAGGAAGTGGATTTACCCCTATCAATATCCTTTCTTTTCTCCAGCTTGCTAGTGTCCCTGTAGTTATCAGTGGAAAGGTAGGTCTTTAAAACTAGAAAAAACGTATAATGTAGAACTCAATAGTAAGAAAAATAAACATCTCATGCTATTGTGTCATGAGAAGCAGATGCCAGATTTTTCTAGAGTTATTATTGTGAAATAAGTGGTTATGAGCAACACGTGCAGTGTATAGTTTTCAAATGTAGACTGGTTCCGTGGGTTTTTCTTAGCGAAGTTATTATCAGCTTGTAAAAGTGTATATTAGCAACTAGAACGCTTTGATGTTTCTTATAATTGTATATAAACTAGGAGCAGAATACTATCTTGAAAAGTTATTGTATTATGTAGCTTCGTATATTTATATACACACATACACCACTTACTGGAGTAATGTATATATTAGTATCCAAATAACAAGTTATGTTGCAGAGGGCTGAACAATATCCTTCAGGATCGTGCTTACCAGCGTTTCGGTATATACGTTTATGTGTGTGTGTGTATATACATATATACATATAGAACTAGTATGGAAAGCTAGATGCCTTTTAAGAACTAGGTTCGTTAGATTGCATCATTCAGAACTGGAGTAACACATGCTGTGAACAAAGGCGTAGCAATTTTGGATATTGCTGATAAGAAGAGTAAGAAGTTCGCTGGTGGTCTAACGATGTTCACCACAGAACCTGCTTTGAGTATATAGAAAACCACCTGTCTTCAAAATATTTTACCCACTGTTGAAGTTACATAATCCATCATTCACTGTCATATGCGTTTTCTATAAAAAAAGAACTTGAAAATTATTGAGAGACTACATGTTCAAGTTCTCATAAAAATAATAACGAAATAAACATAATGACAGTAATCTGGTTTGAAGTTTTCGCTGTGTTTTTGAATTTTCTTTAGGGAAATCTTTATTTTAATGTTCCTTATTTGTATAAAAATGGTAAGTAATTTTGGTTGAAACGACATACTAACTTATTGGTGCGTATTTGTAAGACACTGTGGTTTTGAATTTGATTGGACTCGAATTTCGGCATATGAACATAGTATTTCCTTTATGTTTCGCATGTTATATGTATGTTAGATGGTGTGTTATCAACGTGTGGTGGCGTTACAATCGCGAGATATTTCGAGTAAATCCACAATATGTAACTTAGATATAACACAGCCGAGTACTTAAATTCGTTAGATTATTTTGCTTCGTAAGTGGAATTTGTCAGCTTGTATTATTTTAATAAAACTTTTATTAGCCAGCTTATCAATGTTTTCGTTTATTTTAATGTGAACTTTAAACTTTATTGTAACTTTATCCTGGGCTTAACCAGTGTTTCATTGTTAACTGTTTATTTTAGGCTTAACCGGAGTGTTTCATTACTAACTGTTTTTTTTTTTCGGCTTAACCAGTGTTTCATTATTAACTGTTTATTTTAGGCTCAACTAGAGTGTTTCATTATTAACTGTTATTTTAGGCTTAACCAGAGTGTTTCATTATTAACTGTTTATTTTAGGCTTAACCAAAGAGTGTTTCATTATTAACTGTTTATTTTAGGCTCAACTAGAGTGTTACATTGCTGTTTCTTTTAAACTTAAAACCAATATAACATAATGATCCTCAAAGTCATATGAGAAGTTGTTCTGTGCTCTCATTTTGCCCCCCAGTGGCACAGCGGTATGTCTGCGGACTTACAACGCTAGAATCCGGATTTCGATACCCATGGTGGGCAGAGCACAGATAGCCCATTGTGTAGCTTTGTGCTTAATTACAAACAAACAAGCTCTCATTTGTGGTTTTATCCATTTATCTAAGCTATTTTTTGTATCAGTGGACATTAATTACTTGAATTATAACAAGACACAATATCGTAATGAAATCATTATGGGTGTTTTAATTTGTTTTATTAATATTTATTCATGTTTAGGTGTTAAACTTTCATAATGCCGAAAATATTAGTTTTACATGTTATGTAGTACACATTTTAATGTTCTTCATCGTTACACAAGACACGTTTTACGTACCTTGTGATGGAGCTGTTTTTGTTGACAATTCACTGATATAACTGGACTGGAAATATCGAAGTACAGGCAAACCAGCAATGAAAAATGCTATTAGGGAAATCACGAAAAGAGTAAATTGAGCGATCAATTTTTATGTATTGAAAATTCGTATATACTGTAACAGTAGTGAATACGATTATTATCAACGTTAAAAATATATATTGTAGTCAACACTTAGCCATTTTGCTCAGAAACCGATATTTTAGTAGGAGGATCATAATCCAAAAGAAAAGCGCCAGGGAACAATGAATCATATTGATATGATCAGATCTAAGGTGGGAATAAACTTGAACTTGTTTCCAAGTGCCACTACGGGATTCAAGCAATACTGAAAAATATCAGTACGAATTATTTTGCGAAAGAAAGCCTTTACAAAAAAAAAAAAATACAGTTTATTATATGTTGTGTCAGTTCTTTGGTTATACTTGCGTACTTTGTGTAAATTAAGGGAAAGCAACCTTCCACTTATACATGGAAAGTTTGTAATTTCATTAGACCATTAAAACGTTGTAAAATATATCAAGCTGCAAAACAATTCATAGAGTTGAGTAATTTAAATTATAATGTGTATAGAGCTTTCAACAGGATGATAATGTGTATAGAGCTTTCAACAGAATGATAATGTGTATAGGGCTTTAAACAATATGTGTAGAGCTTTCAACAGGATGATAATGTGTATAGGGCTTTAAACAATATGTGTAGAGCTTTCAACAGGATGATAATGTGTATAGGGCTTTAAACAATATGTGTAGAGCTTTCAACAGTATAATAATGTGTATAGAGCTTTCAACAGGATGATAATGTGTATAGAGTTTTCAACAGGATGATAATGTGTATAGGGCTTTAAACAATGTGTGTAGAGCTTTCAACAGGATGATAATGTGTATATGGCTTTCAACAATATGTGTAGAGCTTTCAGCAGTATAATAATGTGTATAGAGCTTTCAACAGGATGATAATGTGTATAGGGCTTTAAACAATATGTGTAGAGCTTTCAACAGGATGATAATGTGTATATGGCTTTCAACAATATGTGTAGAGCTTTCAACAGGATAATAATGTGTATAGGGCTTTCAACAATATGTGTAGAGCTTTCAGCAGTATAATAATGTGTATAGAGCTTTCAACAGGATAATAATGTGTATAGGGCTTTCAACAATATGTGTAGAGCTTTCAGCAGCATAATAATGTGTATAGAGCTTTCAACTGATAAGAATGTGTAGAGCTTTCAACGGATAATAATGTGTATAGGACTTTCAACGGATAATAATGTGTATAGGGCTTTCAACAATATGTATAGAGCTTTCAGCGGTATAATAATATGTATCGAGCTTTCAACGGATAAGAATGTGTGTAGAGATTTCAACAATATGTATCGAGCTTTCAACGGATAAGAATGTGTAGAACTTTCAGCAATACTTGTAGGACTTTCAACGGATAATAATATGTATAGGGCTTTCAACAATATGTATCGAGCTTTCAACGGATAAGAATGTGTGTAGAGATTTCAACAATATGTATCGAGCTTTCAACGGATAAGAATGTGTAGAACTTTCAGCAATACTTGTAGGACTTTCAACGGATAATAATGTGTATAGGGCTTTCAACAATATGTATCGAGCTTTCAACGGATAAGAATGTGTGTAGAGATTTCAACAATACTTATAGGACTTTCAACGGATAATAATGTGTATAGGGCTTTCAACAATATGTATTGAGCTTTCAGCAGTATAATATTGTGTATCGAGCTTTCAACGGATAAGAATGTGTGTAGAGCTTTCAACAATACTTATAGGACTTTCAACGGGATAATAGTATGTATAAGGCTTTCAACTGGATTACTTCAGGATTGATGGAGGACTTATATTATACTGTGAGATGCATATAATTGAAATACTGTACCTAAGTGACCAAGCTGGTGAAATCTCATGTTGTTTTTTTTCAGTTATTATCATAACTGTCCAATCTCAAGACAATCCCGATCCCAACTAGGGCCATTCTAACACATTATCCAGTATATTTCACAATATTAATGCTCACGTACTTCCTATTGCACCCCCTCCCCCCTTATAAAGCTCGATACGACTTTATTTATCCCATTGACTGCCGATTCGCCGTATAGGATACGGTGTGCTATATACAGTGTAAAGCTCGCAAAAATTCCGCACGTGTTTAAAGCAACCGCAGTCAAAGGGTTACATAGTAATTATCTACTTGCAACTACGTTTATTTGTTGTTTTCTTTATCGTTCCACAGTTTTGACGAAACAACTTGTTTTGTGTGTGTGTGTGTGCTGTACATTCTTGATACTCCTGAATATAAATCATGAGGGAGCCCCTAAAATGGGAGATCAAGGGGAGCTGGAAGTTTCCAAGTTTGACTTACTTGAACTTTTGTATTAACATGTGACGAAAACTTTCAAAATAATAATCTAAATTCAGATATGGAAAATTTCCATATTATAACTCTCTTATGGATATCAAAGGGGTTTGTGGTGCTCTAAGAACTGGATCGTCCAAATTAAGTATCTACGTTAAGACTTGAAATTTTCACGAGTCCCACAAATAGGACATCGGTGTGTGTGGTGGGGGGGGGGGGTGCTCTCAAGATAAGCTGCACGGATTTATTTGGAAATTAGCACAGACGTGTAAGTCAGTCGTTCAGGACAAAAATCTTATTTTAGGTTTTGGATAGTTATGAAGTTAACCCCCAAATGGGATTCAAGGGCTGGAGGGGTTTAACATAAAATTTACAATAACATGATGTAAATAATCGTTGAAAATAAAATGTGCAAATTTGTTTTTCATAAATAAAAGTTGTTTTTTCGGTGAATTTTCACGGGTAATTTATTAATGTAAATACTACCATAACGAAACTATGCAAAGGGGGAAAATTTCATTGTTCCGGAATAATCCAGACTTGTCTGTATTTTCAACAATCAAAGCACTACATTAAACAATCGAACTTATAATACGTTATAACA